ATTTGTCATTAACTTGATGGCCACGATTTAAAAATATGAACATTATTATGGGTAATTTGAAGCTCTGAAAATGGAGCCTACCTTAAAGGCGGCCCAATGTTACCTAAATCTGGGCATGTTATTGTCATGTATAAGGAGGCACCCGATTTTTCCAGCCAGAGCTATCGTATCGTCCACACCCACTGAACACACCTACAGTGTTTGCTGTGTAGCTTTGCTGCTTGGTTTTCAGTCCTGGGCCCCCAAGTCCACATTACGCTCTCAAAACAAACCATCCGACTGCTTGCAAAAGGCATCAGAAGACATCAGTGGTAAACAGGACGACAGAGTCCAAGCAGCGAGATGAAGTTATGGGGCTGGCCTTCCTGGTTCATAACCAACAACAAACCTGACAGTCACCAGACAGATATTTCGATACACACAGATCTGGATCACTACCCAGAGACAGTGAGTCTGGGTGTTCTAAGAAGCCGATCTTAGTCCAGCCTGCCATTCAGAATAAGACAATGATGGCCAAGGATTGCCCTGACCCAAAGTCACTTGGCTAATTTAAGAAGTGGAAGGAGAATAAAAAGCCGTGCTTCAAGCGGGGGCTAAGGCTTAAAGTGTGACCCATGATTTAAGTGCATCAGAAAAAAAAGGATAAGTCCACCCCTCAACTCCCACTCAGTCCTAACTGGTCCATCGTGCCCTCGAAGAGACGTAGCAGCCCAGAGAGGGAGAACTCAACTGCTGAAAGTCATACGCAGCCCACTCCATGACTAGACCAGGAATGAACTACGGACACACTTCCATACACTCAGCCAGGCCTGAGGAGGAGGCACCGCCCCAACTTGGTGAGAAAAGACAATCTGGCCAGAGACCAATCTGGCCAGAAAAGACAATCTGGCCAGAGACAGACCCTCAGAGCAGGTTGTCAGCTCCACATCCACTTTTTTCCTCTACTTGTTCCAAAAGAAGACAGAAGGGCAACCAGAGGCCTCACAGGATACCAGAGGCCATTGGGCTCCTGTGCGGCTCAGCTGGGAGAAAAGATGGGAGGGCACTGCCAGGCCTGGCTCTCACAGCCATGGCTGGGTCCCTACACACTCTTCAAAGCAACCCAGGTCGGAGGCTGGCATTTGTTCTCCCGGGAGTATCTTACACATTCTAATGTCGGTTCACCATGCAAACAAGTAAGCAAATACCTCCCGCAGGAACTCTGCTAATGCACACACATTAAACAGATTTGCTTATTTACTTATGGGCAGCAGGATTTCACTCGTGTCCAAAAAAAGAACTTTGCAAGGGGGCGGAGGGGGAGGGGGAGCAGACACACAGCCGGAATGGGTAATGAAATTTTCTGATGAAGTGGTTGAGATGCATTTTACCCAACCCCAAAATACCTAAGACCAAGATTAAAAAAAAAAAAAGAAAAAGCATCCTTTAATAATCATGTCCTTCTGATGAGACTGAGTATAGAAAATTACACACTGGGTAAACTCATCAGCCAGAAGCAATCAGCAGTGCTGGCAGAGGTCACCCATCAGTCACGAGCCCTCACTCAGGTTTTCCACAATCACCTGAAATGCAAGGCTCCGGGGCGGACGCGTCCGTCGGATTCGAACGCTCGAGCGCGCCACCCGAGTACCGGTTTTAGGTCAGATCAGTTGAGTGTGAGGCTCGCTCCCCCGCTTCCACCAGATGCTTGCAAAGTCTAGAGGCGCCCACCCCTCCCCCAAAGGTCAATCGCTGAAAAACATACATGCAAATCCACGTGCTCCGGTCATCATCAACATGACCTTGGTTGGGCATGCAGGCAAGTATTTACAAAATCATCTACAAGTCTGAGACATCACAACATTCCAGATGGAAAACTAGGAACGCCAAACCGTAGAGCGCTGGAAAGCAAGTAAGGGCAGAGGCCCTGGCTGAGGCCAGAAAAGCGGTCTGGACGTACAAAGCACAGCAGATACTCCCACAGGGGGGTCGTCTCACCTTGGTGGCCAATGCTTCCGCACTTTCCCGACACGTCTTCTCTATTTCAAGATGGTTCTGCATAAAATTAACTTCCTCTATCACCATATGAGAAACTAGGAATGAAGGAGGGGGGAAAAAAATCTCAGTATTCAAAGATTAGTCAGCTCTCCCAGAAGCCCACGCACCATGTCCCGTGATTAAGAATACTTCAATTCTTCAGCACCCAGACCTCTAGATGCCACTGAAAAAGAGCTTTGAAAAGCCAGCCTGATAACATGTTCTCTAACATTTCAATGTAGCAAAAACTATAAAACAAGGACGAACTTGTACTGCCACGGCATGCATTTTAAGGAAGCTATGCAAGAGATTTTGAAAAATAGATGTGAGTGGCAAAGGAGCCCTGCCGATGGAGTGGTTAAAACGCTTTGGTGGCGAACCAAAAGGGGTGTTTGAAACCCACCAGCCGCTCCCCAAGATAAGAATGAGGCTGCATGCTCCCAGAAATATTTACAGCCTCGGAAAGCCTATACAAAGTGTTGCTGAATCAGATTCAACTTGATAGCAGCAAGGTTTGGGGGGGGGGGGTGGTGAGGAAGTCCTGGTGATGCAGTGATTAAAGCATGTGCTTGGTAACCACAAGGTAGGTCAGCGGCTGGATCCTACCAACCACTCTGTGAGAACAGGGCCCTGTGCTGCCATGAAGATTTATGACCTTGGAAACCCTATGGGGAAGTTGTGGTCGGTTCTAGAAGGTCACAAGGAGTCACAGTTGACTCAAAGGTGTGGGTTTGGCATGATTTGGGGGGTTTTGCCTGATCTACGCAGCTCTCTACATACCCACAGACACATTTGCTAACTTAAACAAAAGAATCTCAGAAATAAAGAGAAGTGGCAAAGCCTGATTTCAGTTTCTTAGGGAACTATATATAACACATCGCCCTAGTAAGGGAAGTTAGTGAAATTAGAAACAAAAAAGAAAAGGGAATCTTGAATTGATCTTATGATTGGCCGAACGATGCGGAAGCTTAGTTCAGTGTAGCAAGTGTACTCTGGAATAGGGGCAGAGATGTCCATAGGATTTCATAAACGTGAGGGCAATAAAGGAGAGCAACAAGACTTAAGTACTATAACTCAAAAACAACAACTCACAGCCATCCAGGCAATGCTGACTCTCACGGACACCCTGTGGGTTTCCGAGACTGAAACTGCTGGCAGGAGTAGAAAGCCCAGTCTTTCTCTCAAGGAACGGATGCTGGTGGTTTTGAACTGCTGAGAACAGATGCTAAGAAATTGCTTCTCGTGTCATAGATTGTCAGGAGGATTGGATGCAGCCAAAAATTTTTTCCCCTGAGTACCTGAAAAGTTGCATTCTCAACATGTGGGTGCCTGGTTCTAATACAGTGAAATTTAAAGGTACCAAGTGATGTAGGGCATGATTTAGGTTTTGAAGTTCAAGGAAGAAAAACCTCACTTCTCCACCTCCCCACCCCCCAGTTATTTCTAGTTAAAAGAGCATGTTCAGAATTGCCAAGTTCACAGTCGCCATGTATACGACGTATTGACCCTTGTTTGGCTTTAAAAAAAAATTAAAAATTAAAAGACACCCAAACACGAAAACCAACAAAGTTAGGCAAAAAGCGCTGGGCTCACCATAACACAAAGAGAGATTACATTTGCTTCATTTAAGTTTAATTAACCTGCAATTACGATTCAACTCGGGGAGGAAAAAATTTTTCTCTCTCTCTCTCCAAATTAAAAACAAAACTATATTACTTCCTAAGTCTGTCCCAAGTTCTTATTATGTTAATATTCAAATTCATAAAGCAGCACTAAATGGCCAGAAACATCGCTAACCTTGACATTTTTTCAGGGGTAATAATAATCTGCAGTAAACGCAGGGCAACCAAAAACCACTTAACTAATTAGTAGTTGCAGTCACCGAGAAAAACATGAATCAACACTGTTATTACAAGTGGCACATTTGAGTGGCATCTAATTACGGCTTGATGAGCGCGATCCCTGCATTATCAACATCACTACTGCATCCCATCAGGGTCTGAAAGCTGCTGATGGCATTGACTTCGAGAACCTCCCCCTCAATGGTTCCGCAGCACCCAACATCGGCTTGGCAGGGGCCCCCCTCACTAAATGACACGTTAAGCGTAATTACTGGTAGACATTGTAAATAAACAGGATTGGAAGTGAAAATTGTACCAAGTGCATAAGACACAATCTGACACATTGGAAGTGGCAGCCTTAATTGAGAGTTTCTTTGACTGCTCAAGATCATTTCAACTGCATTTCTCGGAGGACAGTGATTATAACTGTGGAGACAGACGGCATAATGGTGTCGGCAGTGCTGACAGAGCAGTGAATTAAATCGTATCTGCTGTTGTGTGAAAGCTTTGATGAGAAGGTACAGATGCCTTAGTGGTCTTATCATTATAACACAATGGTCATGTTGTCATCAACCTTTCTGGCTCCAATTGAAAAGAAATGATTGTGTGTTGAAGCTCTCCCCCCGCACCCAGCCCCCACTCCTCGCCACCCCCCTCCTTCTCTTCTATCTCTTGTTCTGAATAGAACCAATTTTCAGAGAGCTATGAAATCGCGCAATAGGCCCTAAAATGCAGCTGCTTGGCATACAAACGGGTCCCCATTAAACTGGAATCACACACAATATGTGTTTATGCCTGAAGAACAAATAGACGCTGAACACAGGCCAAGTTTATTCACACAGACAAAGCCCATGTAGCTCTTCATCAATATAATTGCCTTTTATATTGTAGTTTAAATAATAGGCTCTATTATTTCCTTAAAATCCTAATATTCCTGGCATTTTATCACCATGTTTACAAGGTAGGTTCTTCAAAAAATGTGAAGGAAAAGAGAAAAGAAACCTATACAATTTTTACAACATCAAATATTACTTTGAATTTTTAGCCTTAACTACTTGACATCGTCTGCCGCACTCTGGTATTTCCACCATCACAACAAAAACATAAACACTCGGCATTTTTCAGAGGAATTTGACTTTTTTATTCAATAACATTCTCGCTCATGAAGAGTAAGAAAAATCATTCCACGGTATTAAGGTTTAGGCCTAGCAAACAGAGGGGTGGGGGTGGGGGTCGGAGATAAAGACACAAACAAAAACCCACGTGTTTTTTTCAACATTTTGTAAAAAAGCTGCCATGTAATTTAACTTGATAAAACTTAGCGAGGCCAGCATTCTCTCTAAGACTGCGCTGGTACACTCCCAATGTGCAGGAGTTCTCTTCCTCAGTAGGGGGGAGAACAGAAAATGAAAACAGTGCTCCCATTGTTCGCGTAAGAAATTATCCCCATGCTAAACTGGGAACCACAGAGAGCCACGCGTCAACTCTCGACGTGTCTCACTCGCTGCCATCGGGTCCTGGCTGATTCCCAGTGACGCTGCAGGACAGGGTGGAACGGCAACCATGGGTTTCCCAGACTGCGACTCTACCGGAGTAGAAGCCCTGTCTTCCTCCCAAGGAGTGGCTGGTCGTTCCTAGCTGCTGACCTAGCAGTAGGGGCCCAGTGCATGACCAGGATCCCACCAGGTTTAGGAGGTTAACATATTTCAGAGAACAGTTATGTCTTTAACACGCATGGTTCCCAAACTGCCAATCAAGTCACATGACCCAATAAAGAAATATTTTGTTGAACTATGGATCTGTTTGCCCCTTTTCACAGATAGTTATCTCGCCCTGTTTCCACTGGGCTGAGGGTGGGGATGTACAGAGACCCTCGTTTTTCCAGCCAACAATTCGGACACGAATTGTTTTGTTTCATCCCATTCATCGCGAAGCCGCTCGGAACGCACCAGCACCTATCCACGTCCTCCTTGAGTCTCCTGGTTCCATCCCTCCTATTTGCCTAACCTTCAAAGGGTAGAGGCCTCTTTCAGACTTCGGTTGTCCATTTCAGTTTCCCCGTATGGACTTGAACTTGCATAAGTCTTGTTGCATCTATAACCCATCGCCACTACTCCTACAACACTTACACATTTGGATGCCCAAACCACAAACTGAAAAGCCCCAAACTCACTGTGCTGTTCAGTCGATTCCATTCATGCCGACCCCAGGTGTTACAGAGCAGAATGGCTCGGTAGGCTTTCCTTAGGGAAAATCATCATTTATGGAAGCTCTGCTGACAATTCTGCTGATCGCCCTCCTTCCTATGGAGACCGATGTGCAATGGCTGCCTCCTTGATAGTGTGGCAACCTGTTGGCATGGATAGCTTCCCTAATGGATACTGGAGTCAGTCAGCCCTGGCCCACTCTTCCATCTCTCTGACCTTGCTCATTTCTGCTGTCCTGACCTAGGCTCCAGACTTAGATTCGAGGTACCTTTGGAAAAGCCCAAGGCACTGTGGCTAAGGGTCTATGTTGGCCAAGTCATCATGTTCATCTGCACCAAGCTTCCAGACAAAGAGCACATACATAATTGAGCCCTTACGCAGGGTCAAGTTCAAGTCCCCCGGATGCCAGAAGACTCGCCGCCAAGCAACGGGGCTTTACCAAGCTTCATGACTTGAGAAGCACCTGATCCCAGATGGCCGTGGAGTCGAACACATCTCCAACCATGGCCCCTCGGACAAATGGCAGACCCTGCAGTCAGGCAGGCCTTGGGTGGCTCTGTGGTTATCATTCCAACACTTACCAGACAGCACCGTCGGGGCTCTTTGTCCTCCCTCAACCCAAACCAAACTCACCGCCACATAGTCGATGCTGACTCATGGCGACCCTATAGGACAGGGCTGGAACTGCCCCTGTGGGTTTGCCAGACTGTAACTCTTTTCAGGAGTAGAAAGCCCCATCTTTCTCCCACTTTTCTCCCTAAAGTCAAGCAAAATAAGAACCCCATGCACCTGTTCCAACTTTACCTACACATTCTGGAAGACACGGGAACAGAGCTCATTCAAATGCTCGGAGACCGCCTGTATGTGTGTTGGATTCTCTGGCACAAAGCAGAGTACAACATTAGAACTCATCTTTGCATTTCTTGGGACAATTAAAGAAATGCATCAGGCCTAGTTCATCTGTTAACACCCTTTTTCATCTGTTAACACCTTTTGCAGGAACGTTCT